AAGGACAGTCATTATTATCTGACTGAAAAGTGAGCACGGCAATATTTTCACAATTGGTTTTTAAAAAAAGAGAGAGAGAGAGAGTTCAAGAAACAACAAATGTAGAACGGAAATTCGCATTTTGCAATCAGCAACGCCTTTAAAGATGGTACAGCTCCACGCTTAGTCCTCGAAGGTAACACTGGAAAGGAGACGAGATGCCACTGCGTGAGGAAAGGCACAGAATTCCAAGAAGCTCTGTCACGAAATTGAATGATTCAAGGTCACGGAAGGACTTAAACTTCCCCCCCCCACCCTCTTTCCGCGCCCGTATTGCACGAAATCTCTAAGGCTCCAAGTCACAAGTTGTAAGCTTTGCTACGCCTTGAGTTATGACCTTACTACACTCGTCCGGGCTCAGCCGTTCGTCTCTGTTACCTTGAAGCATGACGGAAACTACAAATATATAAAATTCTCAGATATCTGCCATGTTTCCTCACGTCGGTGGACAATTTTCTTATCTCAGAATTTATTAGAATACAGGTTTTATAGTATAGAGAATACATTTTTAAATCAAGTATAGAATTTTAATGTTCTCACGGCCACAGAGACACTCCACCTTAAGTTACGGAGTCAAAGTGTTGATTTGAATGCTATTATAAAATAAGACAACAAAATATGTTAGAACAATATAGATTAGTTACCAGTACGAGCTTGTGTTTTTATACAAATACGTTCGTATTTTACAATGAAACTATTTTATCATTGCAAGAAAGTGTCAAGCAAGTTCTGAAGGAACAACACTGAGGCAACATGGAAGAATTTTGACGGCACTTACGAAGTGGGGTGTTGAACTCTGCCATAGCCCTCAACCATATGGGGAGGACCCAGGGCACCTTTACCATCTTCCACAGAGAGAATGTTGCATTTTGATGACGTCACGTTACTACAAAACATTTCAAAATAAACTAATGAAATTAAACACACAAGAGCACTGAGAAACATCATAAGTATATTTCAGTATACTCCAAAAAAAATTGTCAAATCAACAAAATGTTTTTTTTAAAAAAATAAAAATAAAATACTTGCACATGTTCGATGCTGTCGTATACCGAAGCCAAGAGACAACGGATGTCTATAGTTTCAAGTCAAAACTTTTACCTAAACCTGATGGCACAAGATAGCGTTGAAATAACAGCGACTGATATAAAAAGTACCAAAACATCTTCCACGCCATTCTGTAACTGGACACGAGGCCAAAACATGGGAGTCCCAAAAGTTATGCAACTCACAGTTCAACGTGGTTACGTTTATTATACATATTAGATAATAATTACTTATTAAAGCTATAATTAAAACACTCAACGAAAGTATCTGCCGTGCTGTTGTAGGCAAAACTCAGTCCGTTTCAACATATCAATACGTAGAAACACTGCGAACAGAGGCGTTGCTGATTTTATTTGGTAAAGTAACAACAGGAAAGTGCACCAGACACTGATTTCGAAAATAATATGAAACAATAAACACACACACACACACACACACTGAAATGTTAGAAACGGCATAATGCTTCTTACACAAACAGCTGATTACAAAGCAACGAATCACCGACATTTTACAGTAAGATGAGTCCAGTGTTGCCACTCGGCACGACAAATTGAAATTCCTCTGTCACGCCAACTAAATATTTACCTTTAAACTTTGGATTGTGACTTTTGGTAGCCCGTATATGCCTACCAACAGAATGAGTAAGAGGTCCTGTCGCCATTTTAAGTCATATCCATCCCTTTCACTCTCTTCGAACGGCGACCTTAAAACCCGTTAACATTACGGAGTGTTTTGTGATTTCCCCAAGTCCTATTAGGATATTGTCTGGATAACAGTAGTTTAGTGTCCTGTTTATAGTTTTATAAACAGCGCAATTGTGAAGTGAACTCTTTATGTTTTATTTCAGACTTGACGATAGGATAATCCGACCCTTCCACCAGAGTTCATGATCCCAAGAAATAACTAAACTAACTAACTAACTAACTAACTAACTAGATGGCTTACCGACCCCGAAGGTTCATCACCGAATTAACCAAAGCTCTGTCCTGGGCCAACAAAATCCAGTCTCCTTCGACTCCTATCTCCCATAGATCCCGCCTGAGATTATCCTCCCGTCTACGTCTAGGTCTCTCCAGAGGTCTCTTCCCCTCAGGCTTCCCAAATAGTGGACCCAACCAACTAGATGGCTTACCGAACCCGAAGGTTCATCACCGAATTAACCAAAGCTCTGTCCTGGGCCAACAAAATCCAGTCTCCTTCGACTCCTATCTCCCATAGATCCCGCCTGAGATTATCCTCCCGTCTACGTCTAGGTCTCTCCAGAGGTCTCTTCCCCTCAGGCTTCCCAAATAGTGGACCCAACCAACTAGATGGCTTACCGAACCCGAAGGTTCATCACCGAATTAACCAAAGCTCTGTCCTGGGCCAACAAAATCCAGTCTCCTTCGACTCCTATCTCCCATAGATCCCGCCTGAGATTATCCTCCCGTCTACGTCTAGGTCTCTCCAGAGGTCTCTTCCCCTCAGGCTTCCCAAATAGTGGACCCAACCAACTAGATGGCTTACCGAACCCGAAGGTTCATCACCGAATTAACCAAAGCTCTGTCCTGGGCCAACAAAATCCAGTCTCCTTCGACTCCTATCTCCCATAGATCCCGCCTGAGATTATCCTCCCGTCTACGTCTAGGTCTCTCCAGAGGTCTCTTCCCCTCAGGCTTCCCAAATAGTGGACCCAACCAACTAGATGGCTTACCGAACCCGAAGGTTCATCACCGAATTAACCAAAGCTCTGTCCTGGGCCAACAAAATCCAGTCTCCTTCAACTCCTATCTCCCACAGATCCCGCCTGACAAAGAAATACCTAAATAAATACACAAATTATAAACTCTCATTACCTTGAAATAGGCCCATTTCAACGATCAGCAGAAACACATTATATTTCTAGCTTAAAATATCAAGAGACGGTGGGACACGTGTCTTTTAACTAACGCCACATCGTGATGATATACAGCGAATAAGAACCGATTTAAAATGGATTCTCGTAGCATGTGAAGTGATAATCATTTTTAAGCTACAAATAACGTCTGAAGTTCATTAATTTCCACTAAAAATATTACAAATCTCAAATCGTCTTTTGCATGCGTTTGTTTACTTATTAACAGAGTCTGTATTCCATCAGCTGTCAATAACATAGTTCAATCTGATAATTTTATTGGAACTGACATTGGTTAAATATCTCTCTCTTTCTCTCTCATGAATATATCCGCTCAGTTATAAGACACTGGTTCACGAAACGTCATAAAAATGTCTCTGTAGAATTGTAGTGGAAAAGTACACGATTCGAACGTCTTCCGGATTAGTCTGTCTTTACCCATTATGTGGTATATAAACAGAGGGGAAATTTAATCTCCTCCACAATCACAATCATGTCTTCATAAGCATCATAGCAAAAAGGAAATAACAAAAGACTGCCACATTTGTAACCAAGCGTGAAGGTGAACATATGGGAGTGACGTCATAGCAGAAAATTTCCATTTGGGTTAAAACATTGTTTCAGGATGTACTTCGCCCACATTATAAACTGACAAGACGTCGGTCACGTGGTTTTAAATTAATACCGTTTTAGTCTAGTTTAGTATGAGAAAAGTTGTGTAACGCTTCTCTATCCGTATCAGCGGTTGAAATTTTTAAAACAGATTTTTATTAATGTAACAACGATTTCGCCGAAATTTTATACGATGCATTTCATACGACTTAAAACCAGTGTTACTGCACAGGATTCTAACATTTCGTACCTAGACGAACATACCCAGAATATTTAAACATTTCGAAGTAGAATAAAAATTTCCTTGGATATTATCCATCGTCTAGTAAATATAAAACGTAAAACGACGTTTCGGAGATGGGACTCTATGTCCGTCTTCAGGTTCCTACACAGTTGGGCCCACTAGATAGAGCTAATCCCTATCTCCGGACCTTTCTTGGATATTATCCATCGTCTAGTAAATATAAAACGTAAAACGACGTTTCGGAGATGGGACTCTATCTCCGTCTTCAGGTTCCTACACAGTTGGGCCCACTAGATAGAGCTAATCCCTATCTCCGGACCATA